GATAAATAATACTTCAAGAGTCTCACTGCAGTGTCACTTGTTTCACACCAATCCTCCAAACTAGAGCTGCACGATATGCTGTTTGAGCAATGCACGTGTGTGCAAACGTCACACTGCAGGTCCTGTAATGTAGGAGGCAAATTAAATCAACGTGTCATCTAGAGACGGTCGTGTCGTACGGCTTTTATTTTGACGGGTTGCTTCAGAAAGCGGGCGGCTTCATGTCAAAGGAAGCTCAAACTTTTATTTTGTTGTGAAACTTCTGGGACAATAGTGGCAACGTTTTTCAGAGAAGTGTCGGATATTTCTCCAACTGTGGAGGAAGATGACAAGGATCTTGACAAAAATGAGGAAAATGAGCAGAAAAATGGAGGAAAAGTGGTAAAATACAGTTTAAGTAATGAAAACAAACTAAGCCAGAGAGGCAACACATTAATTGATAAAACACAATTCAAGTTTGCAGATGATAGAATGTAGTAAAATAAAAGATGACTCAACTATGGGGAAAAAAAACATACACGTAACCTGAAGGTTCATCGTCAACAAGATAGTATTATTCAAGTCATTTGTTTAAAACTCTTGGATATTTTTTATATCCCAAGTTTAGAAAAAAATCGCAAAGTCAGTTTTTCCAAATATTGTGCCGCCCTACATTAAAACTCATTTTAGCTTGTGATTTTGTCTGTTTGGTATCACAAGTGTCACAATGCTAACTGCAACAACAAAATCTTTGCCAGTGACAGTTTCAAAGCACCTGACAAACTAACCAGGTGTGCCCAGAAGAGGTAACATTGAGAAAGCAGTACTGGGGATTCCTGAACCACTGAGCTGTCTGAGCCACTCTGCAGTGGAAAATGCAGCCTGAGCAGCACCATGGACAGCTCCTGCAAGGCCACACTCAGGATTTGAGGGCTCAGATGCAACACATGTACAGTACATCTCTAAATGACATGAAGGCAAAAACACAAAACTTCCAGCTCATACTGTCAGGACAAACTATTAAAAAGCCCCATTTCTCATTCTGTATTAACTTCTTAAATAATTAAGTTGTATTTTATTAATAACTGTTTTCAAAAGCGTTTATTTCCACCTGTCAGGAGAAGTAACACTAGACAATGATATAAATGATGCGAGTACGCATTCATGGCTCTCTTGGCACATTACAGAGAGAGCCTGTTGCTTTAAAGGTTTTATTTTGGGCACATGTTGTTGCTCAAGACTTAAGGCTACTTTCTGAAGTGACAGCTGATGTACAAAGAGTGCAAAGGACCAAATCTGTTTGTTTTAAACAAAGAGCAGGGATAAATGAATGCAAGCAGTGCAGGTAAGCTGCTGAATATGCAAAAATCAAAGTCCACTTCATGAATACTGTATGCTACATAATCAATGAGAAAGAACAAAAGAAAGAGGTTCTTTATACTTTTGAGTCACTGTGACTTGTTGTCAAGAAAAGCATATTTTCCCCTGCAACGAACAATGATGCACACAAGTGATGCCCACAGCAGGAAGCAGCTGACTGTGGCAACACTCTGGTCAGAAATCAGAGACGAGTGTGTTCGCGTGTTGGCGGCAGTGGGGGAGTGACTGATTGAGTCTGCTGCTGCTGACAGACTGATTACACTCAGAAGTGAACCAGGAGCAGTAATGCACCAGTATACCACAGACAGAATGGGGGAGGGAGGGGTGCGCCAAACCATCCCTCATCCAACCACCACCGCCGCCACTGCCCCGCTCTCCCCTGCATCAAGGAGGAGGGCTATCCCAGCTCCCCATCCTCCCAGCATCGTGATCTCCCCTCTGCAGTATCTCCTGATGCCAGCTGCGATGGGCTTGGCCCTGACAGATGACACTCAGGTCCACTCAGGCTGCTTCTGTAAACCCCACCACAACGTTGTTCATGTGTTTAAATAACAGGGCTACACTATTTTCTAGCTGATTGACAGTAAAAAGTCGAATTACGTTTTTATTGAGTCATTTTAAACTTATTTTTCTTCATTTAGGGAGTGAAAATTTAGTATTAGATATTTATTTCTGAAATGTGTAAACAAAATCTGAATGTTAAAATGTATTTTTGTGTCATTTTTAAAAGTTACCCCTATAAAATTTCCTGAAACTCTTCCTTTTAAAAACATTATATATGACAGCAAACAAAACTAGGACTTAAAATGAGCATAAACTGTTAATCTGATTTCATTCCTTTMTTGGTGCTGTGCAGAACAGCACACCTCTGATATTATTTATCCACAATACTGCATGCACATGACTACAGACTTCAACCCATGGAACCATCAACCCGTGGAAATTCCCACTTTGAGCAAAAGAAGGCAAAACTTGGAAATCATTTACTTTCCACCAAAATGAGCAGGCGTAGTTATCAATTCAGATTATTCTCCTCCTGAACTGGACATGAGATGTGGCCCTTAGAATCGTGGATTTGTTTATGCTGAGAATTAGGGAAGCCAAATCTGAAATATTCCAACGAGCTGCAGTGAAACCACCACAGTGACACAAACAGTAAAAAGCCTATGGCATAGAATACACAAAACAGGCAGAACATCACACAAAATAAAGGCAATAAAGAAAGGGCTAGCAGCAGCTCTAATATCACAGATCTACAATACATGCCGCTTTTTTTTCTTTTTTGCGCAACGTAGCGCACAGCCAGCATTCACACCGGTGCAGTTCGGTGATTTATTGGTTTCTTCCAACCTTAATCCACATTAAGTCTTAACAACCATGTGCAAAACCCATATAATTCAGGCTAAAAATGGTAAGTTAGTAACGCATCTCCTGAGATTTAGCAAGCCGTTTCGTGCGGCTCGCTGACCGCCGCCTCTCCATCCCCAGCATCCCCCCGAAACAACAGCACCTGCCTGCCCGGGAAAAGCAGCATCCATCGTTTGCAGTCAGCGGTTACCTGGACCGAGGCCTCTCCCGCGGCAACGTGGGTCTCTCTCGGGTCCTCCTCCTGGGACGGGGGGAGGGAGAGAGGGGCGGGGGGGGTCCAACCGGTCCGACTCCCTCTCTCACTCTCGGGGGCTGCTGGGATTCCTCACCACGCTCTCCCTGGTCCGCTGACGGAGCTCCTCTCGCATCTCCAGGGTCAAGTCCCCGCGCTGCAACCGGAAGTCAGTTTGTGCCGATTTCAAAATAAGTAACATTGAATTTATAACTCCTAAATTATTTATATTAGCACTGGTGCGATGCAGAAGACGTAAAAAACAGAAATAAACCACGTATAAAACAGCTTCTGCTGAATAAAAGTCTTTACAATTAAGTTTGTAACAACACTGCTGATTCTGTGATTGATGTGCCAAATAGATCAGACCTAAAGTTTTTTTTATTAATGTTCATTTTTTTACTTTACATCATATACAAAACAACTAATAAAATAGCATACAACACTTATCCAACATGTATTTGCAGAAAAAAAACTGCAGGAAAATTAAAGATGTAGCATAACTTAGCTTAGCTGACCTGTTAGCAGCAGCATATGGTCTGTGGCAGCAGCAGCTAATAGCTTATTATTTCCTTCAAACACAGAAGGTAACAGCTAAAACGCTATCAAATTTGAGTAAATGCTTTGATTACATATTTCTAAACGTTTACAATACGACATTGCTTTTAAATTACTCAAAAAAGACTAAAATACACTTAAACTAAATTAGGCTTTTTTTAAAAATGGCGTCTATCGTCACTTCACTAATGATTTTTCACCTTGAACATTAAAAAAGAAAACTAAATAGTTAAAGATGAGTAGCAAACCTGTAGCCAACGTGAAGCAAACGTAGAAAATTTACACATTTTTTAACTCTTCTGCGGTGGATTTGAAGGTATATAAAGGAAGTTTTGTGTGTCTTTTACATGAGCTTGATGGCTGCCCTCTCTCTGCGAGGAAGAAGCGCGCGCGGGGGGCGGGGTGTTTGGGGTGCTCATTGCGCATGCGCTAATCTCACAGGCCTACTCTAATGCCCTTTGCCACAAATAAGAGGATACAATATGTTGTAATTAAAAATATATCTATCTACCTAATTACAGGATTTACATGCTATATCTCCATCTGTATGTAATACAGTATCGGAGAGCACAGAACTGAAAATGAAGAAATTTAGATTATTTGATTCAAACNCTGTCAGAGATCCAGAAAAGAAAATCTGTCATTTTTATCAGCATCAGCTGTGGAATAAAATGAGCAGCTAAAAGTATAAACAACTGTGTTAAATCATTTTCATTTATTCAGAAGACACACCGTCGCGCACCGTTTAAGAGTTAAATTAAAAGGCTTTCCAATGATATAAGATTTATTACCAAGAAGCACTGTTACAGCAAAGATATAATTTACCAAACAAACATTTCTTTATTTTTTGTGTTGTGTTTATAAATAGAAACACGTTTGTTTTAAATAAAAATATAAAATCGGGGTATGATTTAAAATTTCATCCTGAAAACTTATAAATCAAATAAAGAAAAAGAAAAATAACTAMGCATACAAAAATAGTTCTGAGTTTTTTCTTGCAAATTTATGACTTTTTGAGCTCAAAGAAATGTCTTATTTTTTTCTGAAAATCTCTGAAATTATTCACAAAATTTCAGATTTTTTTTGGTGGAGATTTACTCTTTTTTTAATCGATAAAATGGTTCTAATATGCCGTTGTATAAACGTGTTTCCATGTTTCAGAAGAACAAACATCACAAACAACAGCTTCCTGTCAATTACATTGGTCCAAAATAAAATTACCTCACTGCAGCGTTTTCACATGTAAACGTTGAGTTCTGATGATTCATTTTAATATTTGTTTAATCTGTCAAGCATAAAAAAAATAAACCTGAGAGATACATTTTTGCTCAAATATCTACTCTAATAAAATAAAAATAAAATAAACTAAAACTTGTTTCCTCGAGTCTCAACAATCAAATAAACTGGACATATTTGTCCAAACTGTGACGTCAGCTGCAGCATGTGAGAGTTTATTTTGTTTGTTGTTCGTGTTAAAACTCACGATGCCGTTGGACATGAGGTGATGCCAGTGGAGCTTCCTGCCGCTGTGGTTCTTCTTGTAAAAATCTTCAACCTCGGGGATCAGATCCTCCAGCTCCATGGGCAGAGAGACGAAAACCTTCTCGCTGCTCCTCGACCACGCTCCGGCGTTCAGGATCTTTATGTTGACGGAGTCGGCTGCCGGAGAGCAAAAAAACAAAAACAAACGGATTCCAGTTCAAAACACAAAAACAGCTGCCCACTGACATCTGTAAAAAGACACTAAATGAACCTGCAGAGGGTGAGGCATAGAGCTTACCTGGTAAAGCCAGCTTGTTGTGTTTGTGCATTTCTTTAAAAGACTGGTTGAGGTCCTCGGACACTTTGATGTCTTGAAACATCCGGGCCAACTTGTTGACATAATCAGCAGGCATTCCTACTTCCTGTAAGAACAAATTAAAGCTCGTGTCTTCTGGAGCTAATAACAGATGCTTTTAAATGTTAAAAGATTGCTAATCCATTCAGCACGAATCTCGTTCCACAATTTTTGTGCTATTTCAACAATTCATACATCAAGATGTTCAGCTCAATGCTGCCACAGGTGCTTTTTGGTATTTCAGCTACTTTTTCACCTATTTAGCTTTTTTGGCCACATTTTTCTAATTSAAAATGAAAGGCAGTGTCCTCAACAATATCCCCCAAACCCTTTAAAATGTTCATCAACCTTTACTGCACTTTACTCTAGTTCTGCTTCTTTCTGCTAATTTCAGCCTTCTTCTGATTCTTTTCTTTTTTTTAGCTATCAGCTATTCTTATGCTAATTTCAACTTTTTGGTGTTTCTACTTTTTCATGCAAATTTAAGCCCYTTTTTTTAGTTTTTAAGCTAGTTTTTGGCTGATTTCAGCAAACTATTATTTTCTATCTTCACGCTTTTGCTATAATTTCAGCTTCTTACTGCTGAATTCGACAAACATATGCTCTTTCTGCTTCTTTGTGCCAATTTCAGCCTTCTCCAACTCCTTTTTTTGCTGATTTTAGCTTTTTTTCTGCCATTTCAGCTATCTTTCTGCTATTCTTCTGCTAATTTAAACATTTTTTCCGTTTCTGCTTTTTTTATGCTAGTTTAAGCTGTTTTTTTATTTTTAAGCTACTTTTAGCAGATTTTTCCCCCCTAGTTCCAGCAAATGTCAGCTTTTCAGATCGAACTCACAATAACAGTTTTTTTATGAAACATTTTCATCTTCTTCAGCAGCTTTCAGATAAAATCTTTCAGCAGTAATATTCACAATGCATTTTCTCAGGAAAGGTAAATTTTCTATTTTGTTGTGATGTTTTGTGTGAGATTTGTCATCATTTATTCATCAGAGCATGAAATGAAATGTGTTTCGTACYCTGAGCCACTCCACCATGTTCTCCTCGATCTCGCTGTCGGCTGAGATGTCCAGGATGAGCCGTCGGGTCAGGTGGGCTTTGTGGTAGCGCATGAACACATCTTTGTTCTGCACGTACTTCAGCACTAAAAGCTACAAAAACAAACCAGATAATAATAATAATGATAATAATGATGATGATAATAATAATAATAATAATAATAATAATAATAATAATAATAATAATAATAATAATAATAATATCCAACCTGCAAGCTAGCTTTTTATTTTGGCTCATTAATTCACTAAAGCAAAACTTCTGATAAAATAAATACATGCAAAAATATTAAGCAATAACTATTAGTGAAGATAGTTAACAGCTTTCACATAAACAGATTCAATATACAATTAAAAACTGAGCTGCAGAATGAAAAGAAATGATGCGTTCTGAAAAGATAGTTGTTTTTGTTTTCAGCTAACTTGGCCAAAGCTCTGGCTCCACCTACAGTTGAGTTGAGTGGTGTAAGGAAAGACCAGTTTGTTTGTAGTTTCATGATAAGGTGCTGTTTATTTATTCATTCCATTATTCACATCTCACGTTACACTCTCTCATAGCTTGAATTGTAGTATTGTGTTAATACTGACCTCGGCCTCCTCTCACCAGAGACTGGAGAGGCCTGTTCCCAAACACAAACGGACCTCTCAGACTCCCGGTCCACCTCTCTGTCCCCGTGATCGTCAGTGGTAGAGGTGGTCRTGGGGGGGCTGTAATTATTATAGAAATGTGCTAAGTGACCCCACATCCTCACATTCACCTCAGGACAGAGACTCGATGGGGTCAGAGTTGTGGCTTCCTGTTTGGTTTAGTCTTTGTGTGTAATTTATACATCGTGAAAGTCCAGATTCAAGTGTTTGATCACTTTTACTGTAACGGTCATTTCCCAGCGGCGTCGGGCACCCCGCTGTGATAAATCCGAGTAGCCGGGTTTGTAGCAGCATCGCCTCCCAAGGAAAGATGGCAGCATTTAATTCAAGTGGTCTGTGTTCGATCCGGGCCGCAGGTGTTTTTCCTCGGCGTTTCCTGTCTGTCTCGTCAGACTTGTGCAAGAGGAGGAGTGTAGTATCGGTGGACGTGACGCAGAGCGGCATCGAAAGAAAAAAACACGGACATTTTTAACAGCCTCTCCCCCCTCCCTGATTTAAAAACAGCTTTGACCACTCGCTGCAGAATCCGCCGCTGCTTTGATATCAACAATATTTTTTGAAATCTTTATACAAGTTTTAAGGCAGGAAGATTTTTTTTAAATATGTCTCGCTCTTGAACTCATGTCTCCCTGCACAAGATTGGATTTTTTTTAAATCTTCTTCTTCAATAGAGGACGGGAAGCCTGGAATATTCTAGCGTCCATCAGGCCGGATCCACTGAAAGAGAAGTTAAAACAGGTCGTCCTGAAATGCCGAGCTATGCCATGTAGATGAAGGTGTTTATATCCGTCTCGTCCCGCTTTATGTACTTGTGATCTATCAGCCACTCGATCTGCTCCTTGATCATCTTTTTCTGTGGTAAAAACATGTTCTTTAGGATTTCCACCAGCTCCGTCTGCAGTTGAGCGTTGTTGATGCGCTTCCTCATCTTCATTATCTGGATTATGGCCTCCTGGAGGTTCATGAGGCAAAAACAATAATAATAATATTAACCGCAACAAAAAAGCAAGAGAAGAGGTGTATTCTGGGAGTTCCTGTCCCCACCTGCGTTCTGAGTATCCTGAGCTGGACGATGCCTTCGTTCTCCTCCTCTCTCATTCGCTCTGTGGTGAGCTGCAGACGGCCAATCAGGTTTATCTTCCCCCTTTTCTGAACCTTTGAGTTTTTTCTGTAAATTTGACAACAGGATTACTGCAGAGCTGTAGAACAAGATAAAAATACCCCAAGCATGAATCATTTCTTCCTATTTTCTCCAAATCAGGTAAGTTGTTTGAATGTTTCTACCGATAAAAAACAAACAAAAACAGGGGTTCCAATGCTGGTCCTGGAGGAACACCGCCCTGCAGGTTTTACTTGTTTCTCTGCTCCAACACACCTGGTTTGAATGAATGGATGATTAACAGGCTTCTGCAGAAACTGAAGAAGCAATTCAGTCACTAAAATCGGGTGGGTTGGAGAAGAGAAACAAGTAAAACCTGCAGGTTGAGACAATCACAAAAAATAAATGTTTTAGCTTCAGATGAGAAGATTAGAAATAATTAACCCTCCTGCTGTTCTTGGTTCAAAATTACCTTAAAAAACTATGTTTTAAAACAGACCCCGTGGGTCACTTTGACCTAAGAGCAGCAAAAAGTAAATCAAGAAGTTAATCTCAGTTAAACAAGGCGGCCAAAATTCAAAACTAAAAAATAAAAATGATTACAATTAAAAATATTAGCATTAACTTCTTATGTCTTACTGTCCATCAGCAACTTTTTCATTTATTATATCTTAGAAATCATTTTATCACAAAAAACATCAACAAAAATATAATAATTTTAAAAATAAGACGAGAATACAGAACATTTATTGAGAAAGTGAAGAT